GTCAAGGGCTCTCCAGGTCAGGCTCTCCTCAGCCATCTAGGCAGCGACGCTGAATCTGTACTGCGACTTGGCTGAGCCATAACGGCTTAACCGGAAGGACGCGCTGTATGCAGCCATTTGCCTACCCACAGTCAAGAATGCACCCTTGAAGAACAAGCTAACAACAGCTGAGTCCGACAGTAATTGTCTAGATCCAGTTCAACAAAAACCGCAAACTATAACAGTACGAAGTAGCGTTAATTGTCCTTGTTTTAAAATTCGCTAACAGCAGCAGCTAAACATTTCACCGATGACACTCGAGCAGCAACAAGTCGGGTCAGCATTATGACCACCACAAATACTCACGGCAGTTGGCTTCGGCGCAAGCTCCCCGTCCAACATTTCTACGTATCGTTGAAACGGAGGCAGTGGAAAAGTTTCTTCAACTTCAGTGACCGAATGTTATCGTCCCCTACGGTAAACATCGATTGCCGAAGTCGGTTTTTCGACCAGCGAAATATATTCCTTTAAAGGTCGCCTAAAGTGTGTAAACTTTAGTCTAAACGCAGGAAGTACCGGTTACAGAGGATGGAAGAGGGACAAAGACAGCTGTTCAGGCTTCGGACCATTGGTTAGCAACTTGCAGCTTTTTACTGTATGCTATTAGGTGCTGCAGCAAAACTATAAACATCCAGCAAGTGCTTGCCCGCGTATATATTCTCCCTCTCTCTCACTATATTATCTTTTTTCTATTTCGAGCCCTGTGTCGAGGCTTTCTTCTAGCTTTTTTATGCAATTGTTACGTCGTTCATTTAATTGCAGCCAACAGCCGAATGAGCGTCTGCCCGCGTGCCCACTGCAAGCTGTCACTCATCGTTCCATTCACTCGTGCACTCACTATCCACGGCAGGAAACAAAGCGAGAGACTAGTGTGATTCAGTCATAGTGCACTTCAAGAAATAATTCTGCATCGGCGTAAGCTGCACATCTCGGATAAGATAGCAACGCAATTGCGATAACGCCAATAGAGGGAGCAGCGGCTTCAGCAGAACTATCGTCGCCGGCCTTGTTGCCGTATGGAAGGATAAACGGACTAACGAACAAATTGGTGATATATGTCAATGGGCCAATGGCGACGGCAGCCGACGAGTGCAATTACGCTACATTACTTAGCGGCTGTTCGTGTCTTGTCGGAGAAGAGGCGGGCAATGCTGCCCTCGCACTCTGTGAGCTGCGGACGCAGCTTTCTCCTGCAAGGAGCTAAAAGAAGTATGAGACGAAAGTAGGAGTGAAGCATAGGAGGATTAAAGAGGGGAGTAGGAAGTATGGAAAAGCAGAGCAACAACAAGATGTGTGTCACGCCATATCGGAAATGAATGGGCCAACACGATATCCTCACGTCCTAATGCCCTTTCCCTTGTTTCCCTGACAACGGTCCCCTCCGTCCAGCGAAGGATTCTTCGTACCTGTTGTTTTTAGTCGTCTACCCGCACTCCGGGTTCTCATTCTCGGGTTTCTACCGACTACTAGCGCTTCGCGCGCCTCACCTCACCCGGTACCATTCTGCCAAGTCCCTGCTAAATACATCGCTCTTAGCGTTGTCGTTGTTGTCTAGCCAGCTCTTAGCTAGCTGGACAGTCGGACAAGGGCCAGGAACAGCCTCGCCTGCAACGAAGCTAGTAGCAAAGGCAGTGACGTAGAAGTAGTATAAATGCACATCATTGCCGTTCCCTGGCGCGTGTGTACTCCTTTCTGTAGCGGCGCCTGCACTGATAGTCAGTTACCTATTTTTATATTTCTCCTTGTGTAAGTACATCTGCCACATACTGCTTCCTGCGACCGGCCAAAGGGTCACGGAACGACGAAGAGCTCAAGGATCCAAGAAGAGGGCTAGTGTTGAGAAGGCCAAAAAGGATGGAAGTTGAAGACAGCGATAGACGCAAGCAGAACAGAGGTAGAAGGTGACTGAAAGTTGAAGAAAACAACTGCTCTCCACACCACCCACTCGGTAGGATTTCGTTGCAAAGAGTCAGTCTGGCGAAAATCTGCCTTCTACGGGACCGACTACTGTAGATTTTTGGCCTGTACGCAGTATCTGTGTACACAGCTTAGCAGATGCAATGTGAGCATTACATAAGCAAATGTCAGCATGAGCTCTGTGTTGCCTAGCTCATGTCAGCTCGATCCTGGGTCATATTGTTTCTATTGGCCGAGCTACATTAAAAACTAGATAAAACTAGGCCCTGGTTATAAAAGATGCTTGTAGATTTACCTTCACGCCATAAAGGTTGTTAATGCGTGGCTAATGAATACACACAGACTGGGGTCTGCTCAGTTAGTTTCATCTATTGCAATTCACAAAATTGTGTCGAGGTTAGCCTGAGTAGTATATGTGATCGTGAAGAGATCTATGATTCCAGAGGCTATCACTACCCATATAATGCTAACCCTTACTAACAATCGACAAGAGCTTTTCATCTCAAGGGAGATTAAGTTAGCAGTTTGTGGTTGCTAACTAAACCTATTCTAAAACTTTAAATAGTTGAGACAAAATTCATGGTAATATCTTTTGCGAAACCTTGCATCTTCGTAAAAAGCTTGCAAATTTAAAAGCATTTATATAAGAAGTCTTATGCCGTGTCTTATAGCAAAATGTGAAGATCGTAAAATTTAGAAATAACCCAGGCCATGAAACGCATTTCCTGAGTTCCTTGATCGACGCCATGACTATAAAAATGCAGACTATAAAAACCAAAAGAAACATGGCGCAGACAAAGAAGGATCAATGGAGTTGGTAGATTAGCGTTCTCAGATATACATATAGATGCGCACACGAGGATGAATTGGAGCACATGTGTCAAACACTTGATTCAAGGTGCATCTTGAAGGTTTTCTCTCTTGAATTTATCAGATTAGTATAATAGGTAACTAGTCTCAATAGAAACATTTACTGTCTTGTATAGTGTTTTTCATTTTTACACACGCTTACCTGTTATAACCTAAGAATAGGATCGTTAAGCAACTCGTGCAACGAAATGTCGAACTGCTCGAAGTTGGTCCGAGGCCTTAGCGGCAGGCTCGGTCCAGTGAGACAACACGCGTGCAAACAAAGGGCTTCGTGGTCTGCTGACTCCCTAGAGCTCCTGCGCTACTTTTACTGATCAAATAGTCAAACGCATTCGTCCCCTTTCAATGAGCAGCACTTTGCCGCAGCTAATCACTTTTAAGTTCCCGCGGAGTGAAAAAAACGACTTCCACAACAGCAAAAAAAACAACTGTTTACTAATCAGGCAGCAGGGCATTCTCGAACCAAATTCAAATATCCATTCCCTCGCTGCCCCCAGAACTTGGCCGCTTTCACCTTCGTTGCCCTCTGTCGTCACCCCTATGCCGGGAGAAAATACAAATTACCTTCACAGCGTTTTGGTATTCACGTTGTAGCATAGATTGGTCTTATTGTGAATAGGTCTATTAAAACGAGTTCAAGTCAATCATTTTAATTATTAAAAGCAATGTAAACGTTTAATTTATCAAAAAAAGCGCGAGAAAAGGGTCAGTATTCTGTACGAGTTGTAGTCGTAGGCAGGAAAGCAAACATAATAGAAACAGCAAGCAACTGCATCACTAAAATTGGAGCCAGAATATATTTAGAGCTTTCTGTAGTAGCATTAATTACCTGTTATGTTTGTCGTGTGTCAACTAAAAATTCTGTTAACTCAAGGAAGCTGAGGTAAATTTTCAAAAAGGCTATTGATTGATACAAATATAGTCTACTTTCCAGGTCCGGTGCGAGGCAGCCGCGCCTGTGTCGGGCCCTCACAATCAGCATGAAAGGAATAGATTGATTAAAGAAGTGAACAAATACCTTCATCTTAAATCTATTTAGCCACAATCTAATATGAATTTATATTCATTAAATTCTTACATTTCGATACAAAGATATACTAAATTGCCATTAATCTTTCAAAGATTTTTTTAGGCCCGATACACTGCGCAGAATTAGCGCGATATGAGGAAGAAGTCACACTTTTTTTGGCTGAATCATGAGCCTTCGACGTGCGACTCTTAACAAGACACCCATAGGGCTGTGAAGTAGGTTTTCTTCCTACAGGTTAGTCCCTTTGTGACATTATTGTTATTGAGCTGTGTGTTAATAACTTGCGATGAAGAGATCAAAGTGAAGCCTCCGTGGGAGAAGCGCTTTTTTTGACCTTGTCTTTTTGACTAGGCCAAACAAGGAAACGGCCTTTGCTAAAATCGCCGATGGAGAGTCAACGTCAGTTGAAGAAGTCAGACGTGAAATTAGGTAGCACACTCACAAAACGATCCAGAAATAAATAATCTATTTTTTTTAGGACTGGAAAAATTATCCCACAGAACAATTTATCCCTTGCTCTGCTAAAGTATGTTCTAGGTGTATTCTCCATCATGACTCGGTGCAGATCAACATGTGCAAAGTAGTCCGTACTCATAAGCATATACTTAATGAGCAGGATCACGACAACACAGAAATAACTATTTACGGATCGAATCTTTTTTTCATACAACAATTCATCAAAACGGACGAAGTAGTTATCGCAAGTTATGTACAATATATAAAATATAATAACTAAACTTAAACAGGCAACCACTTTTCTCGTTGTTCTGATTCAACCATTCAGTGTTTCCAATGCTAAGAACATAAGTCTGAGTGATGCTTCCACGGACTAGCCACTTTGTTATTTGGCATTATAAGAGCATTCGCACACTAAAAAAGACAATTTCATCTCTTCTTTAGTTCCCTTCATTTGGCAAAAAATCAAGAGTTCACTGTTAAGCCCCTTAGCGCATCAGTAATAATGCATACTCTATCGAATACGTTATCTGATTGCCGTGCGCAATAAGCAAATAAAGCTAGAGAATTAAAAATTTAGCGAAACATTCGCGTGTTCTCATTTCTTGTCCATTCTGATAGAGGATCGAATAATAATTAGTCAGTCAGTCAGTCAGTCAGTCCATCAGTCATTTTACTAGTTACTCACCTGGACTAGCGAGGACGATGAGTATCGGCAGCTGCAGCAACCATGCCACTAGCGCTGCCGGCCTCCTTCTTCTTTTTCTTCTTATTGAAGTCGCAGCAAACGTTGTTGTTGTTGTTGTTTCTGTAACAACAGTAGCAGTAATAGTAGCAGCACGCTTCGTGGTCGTTGTCGTCCTCATCGCGTCCTGTGCAGGGCACTGTCCTGACGGCCTGCCGTCTTTTCTTCACCACATGCTACACTACCGACACCTAGCTATCTTGTTCCTGCTGCTTCTGCACACGGGACCAGAGCAATCCATCGGGCACGACAACGGGACCAACACACAATCACTGGGTTCACTTATCCGTCAGAAACAAATATGGGGTCAATATCTGGGTTTATATCCGGTTAACAACAGCCACTCACCTTCTTTTCCGAACGCGCGCACACACTGAGCAAGGGTGAAGAAGATTGTGATGAAAAACTAATTACGCCCACAATTTTTTAACCAATCAATGAACCAAACAAAACAACAACAAGCGATGAACCCCTCCTCCAAAACTACCAATTAGGCAGTTTTCAGACAAATGGCACCACCATTTCTTCTTACGCCGCTACGTGGCTAGAAAGTGTCACCATAGCAAACAACTCAGTTCCTTAACGCTACTCCACCTTACCTTGTCGTCGCTATTGTCTTGGCCCGCTACTCTCGTCGTTTATTTCTTTCTACTAACCCTTGACGCCTATTCTGATTTGTACGCGTAGTTGTTTAAAGCACACGCACACATGGGCTGAACGAAACGCCCGACAAAGCTTTCCCTTCAACGGTCACTAGCAATCTGGCAGCCCGGACAAGATGCGCCGGCGGGGAGAGGCGACTGGGAGGGGAAGAGGCCGACACAAGCGCCGAGGGTGGTGCACAGCCGAACTACAACGCGGCCACTTCTACTACCGATGCTACCGACGTCGAGCGCTCGGCATCGACTACAGCGGCTTCAATGGGAGTGAGGATAGTAGGGCTTCCACTGGTTCACTGGCCTAAGGTGGGACTCCAGAGACGGTGGATATAGCAGGCGTTCGTCGGACTGGAGTGCACCGAGGAGACAGAAGGACGAGAAAGGAGATGACGAGGACAACGGCTGAGCAGAAATTGCTGGTGCAATTTCTACTGCTGTTACGACTACTGCCGCGACCAGCATCACCGCTACGATTACTAAGAATTGGAGAAGAACAGGAGAAATAGTAGGGTCGACAGGTAAAGTCCATAGTTTTTCTTGTGTTAGTCCTAAGCAGAGGGACCAGCAGTAGCAATAGCATACCGGCAACTGCAGTAGCCGTTCAAGATGTACGAGGATCAGAGTACGCAAAGGTTACAACGATATAACGGTAACGACAGTGACGACGGCAACGACAACAGAGCCAATAGCTAGATCCGGACGCTGCATTCTTCGGATAATTCGACTAACCAAGAAACGCTGAAAAAAGGCAAATATATGATTACTAGAGTGCAGGATAGATCTGTATTATTACACTGCGTATATATTGAAAACGTTTTGAACGACCAATTTAATATTAATGAATATATTATTAACTAATGCTAGCGATTTCTAAGAAATTGTGTCTACAGGTCTGCAACCATGGAAACGATAATGAACTAAAGGCTAGACAATAACGTTCATTTAAACGTGATTAGAGAGGTGTTTTTCGTTTTGATGATGGGAGATAGTTTCTTTAGCATCGTTGCGAGACGTCAAGGGCACGAAGTTTCTTTCGGCAGCTACGAATCTCATTTGAAATATCTTATTGACTCGGATGTACAGACTTTTTTCGCCGTTGATAATACCGTTTAGTGAGCTCAACTCGCAATGTTCAGCACTTACACATATAATGCAATATAAACAGTTTACATTAAGTTTTAAATTATTCAGAGAGTATTCTTTGCAATAGCTTGTGTTGAGAAAGGGGCATATTTCGGCACACATAATTAGCTTCCGCAATTTGTTGAGTTGAATCAAATGTACATTTTATATTTAAATACTTAAAACGTTCTTGAACGCATTGTGGTATACATTTAGAACAACTTATACTGATACATTAATAATAGAAAAAAAACTAATTTTAAATTAACAGTATCATGCACATTTTCAATTTAACGCCTTCTCTGTGCCTACTGATTCGGTTATCTATATCATATAGACTGTCCTTTAGGCTTATGAGTCAGTGTTGTTAGTTAATTTTTGTGTAATACGTTTATAAATTTTAGAAGATTTTCCACCAAAACCTTTGCACGCAGCATAATGCGAATCAACTAAAAAGAAAAAGCTAAGAAGAAAAAAAAAGAATTCATTTTGTTTTACAGAAAAAATAAACGCTGGGGTCTTGTATCTTGTAAGCTGCAATTCGCCACTTCCCAATCAGGTGATCACGATAAGGGCACGTCAGGCCATCTTTAAAGATATGAGCATGCAAGCATAGCTTCAGCGGCCCATTTACTAGAAAACAATTATTTTTGAATAAAATGCTTATTACTGCATCATTTGCATGCTAGTTCATGTCTTGGTAAACGTTATCGATTTAGGTTGCCCTACTTCAATAGTGATAAAATAATTTTTATTTTTTACTATGTTACCGCCAACCGGTCGGTAAGCAAGCTGTACGTTGATCTGTTTGATGACAATATAGACGTAAATGAAAAAATCGATACGGCTCCGTGCTGACCCCTGTCCTTGCGTAGCGTTTGCTTCGTGAAACTGCGTGGGTCGACGTTCATTGAAGACCCGTCTATTCAACCAGCTGCACTTATAGTAGCTTAGTGCTGCGTATGTATGCGTATACCAAGTGGCCAATAGCCACTCTCGCGCTAAGCAACCTGTACCAACAAACGAGTTGTTTATTCAAACAAAAACATATTGACTGGAACGAACGCCGGTTCGTCGTTCTGCTCGTATGTCATTGGCAGACGCTCCTATCTATATGTTGTCTATCGCTCGTCACTGTTGCAGTTCCTTCCCATTCCACCTCTTCCCTTCCTCCTTTTTGGTTATTATACTCACAATTAGTATCATTACTATTAGCGTGACTAGCAACAGCGTAAACAATTTTGAGGAGCAGAAGCGCCAGCTCGAACAGAAGCTGCCGCGTGTACGAAGCAGCCTATCAGCTAAAAGACGACTTCGAACGGTTTCGACAATTATCACGTCGGCTATAACCGCCAAGACAGGCCCTAACACAACGCCGTTAGGAAGATGTCTGATCACCGTGGAGTGTTCAAATAGACAAGCAGAGATAAACATCAAGCGCTCGGGTTGGAAACCTCTTTCCCACCATACATGGAGCTGCAGCGCACAAACGGTACCCGCAGCGCCCAATGTCCGTCCATGCTGTGGTTCCTCACATTCGACTTTGATTCAACACTATTTAGTTAGTCAAATAACAATAGCAGCTACAGCATTGCCGCATGCGCAAGCTCGTTGTGACGTCGTCCAGTTAACGGCTAGCTTCGGATCGGCTCATTCGTCTTTGACATACGGGGTTGTCCACCCATAGTGCAATATTTCCGGTGCTCGAAAGTTGCGATAGGGGCTCCGGTGATTTGCCCCGTCCGTTTTTTTCTTCAATTGTAGCCTATGATTTCATAGTGCAGCAGCAGCAATAACATATGAATAAGATACGTGCTGGGAGTGGGTGGACGGCATTTGGAACGTTTATAGCTTTAGGAGCCATAGAAACGTCCTCCTGCGAAAAAATGAAGGAATCGTAGTAAACCTCGTATAGTTCTTCGCTAGCTTTAAAAGAGCGGCACGCTGTACGGCATTCGTGGAAAATATTGGTCGGTACCTGCATCAATATTATATATATATATATATATATATCACCGTTAGGTACTAAACAGCGTAAATAAGGATTACTTTCACTGCATAAGCAAAGGGTCATGTAGGCGAGCGCTGCTGAATTTGTATCGGCGTCCATTAAGGTAGCATGGCATATATATAAAAAAACGTACGTCGCCTTAAACCTTGAGACGTAATTCGAGGAGACATATTTTTGGAATTCACAAATATAAATGCGCTGTGTCCTAAATTAAGCTTTTTGTGAGACAGTGTGTTATGCAGGTTCAGTGGTCCAGTCAGTACAAGGACAGAAAATTCTTGTAAGGGCACGGATCATAACAAGTTTAACCCTGAGGGCCAGCAACACTAAGCCTGATATGACTTAATTTCTATTAATTGCCGACGGCATAGTGACGTTTTACGATAGTTATATAAACTGTAACTTATCTTTTCTTCTTATTTCAGCTGAACGAATAATGATAAATGTTCTACGCGCACTAATTATAGCTCATAGAAAGATGCTTTTTATTTATTTTGTCTCTATACTGCAAAGACTGTATCCCGCTGTACGTCTATATGGTGATGCGAAGAGTATGCGTTAAGCCATCGATGCGCTAAGTTTGAGGCGCAATATGAAAAGCTGGCAGCTTCACGCAAATCGCTTTGTTTATCAGTTTCGATCCATAGAATAGGTATAATCCAGACGACTGCCCATATAGTAGTCTGAATAGGCACTCGAAAAAAAAGTCACCTAACAAACTGTCAAAGCTTGTTCCTACGGCTTAATGCCGTAAAGTTCTGCATTGAATTTTGTCGATAACGCTGCCGCAAGAACACGTTCATTTATACTTAAACGAGACGAAAATAAGCTAGGTTTTATGTGTATTTCCTCGTAAATGGCAATAAACGTGTCAGACTGTGACAGATGCCCATTATTTGAATAAGCCGTTGGATCACAAAGAGGATGGTAGACCATTATTTCTCGTAAAATGTTAGCAATTTCTGAAACTCGCACCTGTCAAAGGACAGGGAACAAATAATGTTAGCCAGCATCTTCTTAAATATCGATATCAAGCCGGATCGAATTGAAGCAGAACACCAAGTTGATGCGGATAAATCATTATAGCGGCCTAGTTCATAAGGTCATGTAATCTTATTATTGTTATGTATAATTATATATATATATAATTCTCTTGGTCAGGTCGAATCAAGCATGAACCTTAATAACGATGGTTACCACAAGAGGGACTTTATGTCCAGCACATAGTAGATGACACGAAAAACAAAGATGCAATTCTCAAACTTTGAAACATAGAAGAAGCCCACAACGTATATTACATTACAGTCAGCAATCCATATATTTAGGCTTGTCTATGACTTTAAATGCATACAATAGATATACTTAAATTTTCACACATCACGTTTTTTACACCCCATCGGTCATTTTCTACAAGAAAACCGGACACCAGCTACTAGCTGTATGTTTACGTAGATTGACTTCTACAAGAAACGGAGCGGATAACTGTGTTATTGTACGAGCTACTCTAATACTAGAAAAAAATGCTTTAATCAAATTTGGATTTTTGGTTATTTTTTCTTAGCGTATCTAATTGATTCTGTATTAATTGTTGAATCCTGTTTTCTGCTATTTGTTGACAAATACACTAGTTATGCAATTTTACCATTACAACCACTGATTTCAAATGTCTTGAGAAGTGAGCGCAAATAAACAAGTTGTGTCAGTCACAGCACTTTGAAGCCTATCTGTGACTGTATAGTTGCGGCGATTTTCTGTGGATTTCGATTTATTGAAGGCAGCCTTTTGCATAGCTATTTATGACAGTTATCAATTCAATACGTTCTTCGGATTGGCGCTAAAACGCCTTTCTCGTACGCAACAAGAGCGTCGTCTCATAGCAAACGCGTTACTTTTCCCCTTAATGAAGATCGTCTGGAGTTACTTTTT